GAAGTAGCAGAAAGAGGAAAGTCGACAGAACAATGAGAAGAGGAAGAAGAATTAGCCAAGTTTGTTCGATTTCCTGAGGGTGGTCCATGAAGTACGAAGACTGGCACAGCTCCGACACTAATATGGCCCGTCTCGGCACGGGCTTCCATTTCTGGAATAAAGTTCCCAGTCGCTCTTCTTTCCGTGCCACCATGAGTAATCTTGTTCCCCCTTCGCCGTCGGTTATGCGCCGAAAGACATCCACCAGACGACGAGCAGGCTCAAATTTGCCACCCTATCAGGACTCTCATAATGCTGCTCTGTCGACTATCCGATCTTTCCTCAAAGGCCGTATCTGTTACGATGCTTTCCCAATCAGTTTCCGCCTTATTATCCTTGATACCAAGCTCAGCGTAAAAGGAGCTTTACAATGTCTCTTAATGAACAGTACGTCCATTTTCTGCAAATCTCTGCTCTTCTATTCAGGAACCTACCCAGGTGTTGTCTCTGCGCCGCTTTGGAACAGCGAAAAATCTGAATTTGCCGGCATGCTAACTGTTCTCGACATTATACACCTCATCCAATACTACTGGAGAATAACGGCGTCTTATGATTTTGCTGCAGAAGATGTCGAAACTTTACGTCTGGAGAGGTTGCGAGGTAATAATAATAAAAGGTCTCCTTTGTTCGCAAATCTCATCTTCTTCCGTCAGAAATCGAAATCGAACTTGGAGTTGCCCAACCTCCGCTTTTGCGCAAACCTCCGTCTAGTACCTTGTACGAAGCTGCCCAGGTACTAGTCCAGACTCATGCACGAAGATTACCCCTTGTCGATTACGATTCGGAAACTGGTCACGAAGTCATCGTGTCCACTCTGACGCAGTATCGTCTGCTTAAATTCATTTCAATCAACGTTAGTCTTTTTTGCTGTTCGCCGATGGTGTGATCAACTTTTTTTTCGCTAGTGCCATCGAGAGATCCAGCAATTGAACCTCTCCCTTCGCCGTCTCAAAATCGGCACGTATGTCGCTGCATCCTCACCTACCGACCTCCCCGAAGGCCAAAAGCCCTATCATCCTATTGCTACCGCCACTCTCAATACTACGGTCTTCAATGTCGTACATATGTTCTCCGAGCGTTCTATTTCAGCGGTACCAATCATAAACGAAGATGGGATCGTTGTTAACTTGTATGAGACAGTTGATGTTATCGTACGTGCAACCTACTACTCCTAATTGAATCGTTCGCCGATCCGTTCCTGCCGCAGACTTTGGTTCGTTCGGGATCCTACCAATCACTGGACTTGAAGATTTCGGAGGCTTTAAAACAAAGATCAGCGGACTTTCCTGGTGTCGTTATTTGCACTGCTTCGGACTCTCTTGGAACTCTTTTGCAATTGATAAAGAAGCGCAGAGTTCACCGGCTTGTTGTCGTAGAAGGCGAGGTCAGTACTTGATTCTTGCTCATTGTTCATGTTTTGATACGGTCTACACAGGAAGAGGAACGGAAAGGAGGCAAGAAAGGCCGTCTCCTGGGCATCATCACTCTTAGCGACGTCTTGCGATACATCATGGGTGCAGGCACTGTCAACAATGAATCACATGAGTCCAAGCCGTCGCAGTCGCAGATCCAAGCAGAATCCATCCAAGCCCCGCCTCCATCTCCAGAAGGTCCCTCATCGCCGCTCGTATCTACTTCTACCACTCCTTCATCATAATAGAGTTTACTATTATACGTGGGGCAACACGTTCAAATTTCTACTGTATCTCTATCTAGATGTTGTCTTATGTTCCGTCTGGTCCTAGTACTCGCCATCGCGCTCTACGGTTCACCATGCACATCTTTGTTGTCCCATCTGCTTTTGGATATCCTTGTGCTCCCTAGTGTTGTACAGTCCCTCTTGTGCACCACATATAACCTGCAATTCAATTTTTTAGACATCAGTTCTCCCTAATGGCAACTCAAGAGGCCTCTGATAAATGATCGGAACTTTGAGCTCACGGACTTCCTTTCAGAATCACACTCTTTACGTATTCTTGTTGCTCTTCTACCACTCTCACTTGATGGTTTCTGGATGGCCTTTCCTCCTTCGCTCCACCAAAGTATTCAACAAAAGCATTCCATCTGAGGCAGAAATCACCGAAAATGACGTCCTTCGAGTTGCTTTGCACAAACCATTAACTGTATTGACCTTGAACCCGTTGGTTACGAGGAGCGAAGTGTTGGACCCGACATCAAAACCGAACCTGTACACAACTCATGAAGATATAAAGCTTTTGGGGATCAAGTCAGATATTGTGTCCACGGCGGACTGTACGTTGACTGGTTGAGTAGCTTGCAGCTGTCGTGTTCCGGCACTTACTGATATATATATAACTTTCGGCTCCCATACAGATGACGGTATAAGCCTGGCTTTGGGACGATGTTGAGAATGACATGGAAAGTAGCAAGGAATGCAGAGACTGGAGACCTCGAGGTTTCCGAGACGGTGATTTGTCGAGTAAGTAATCTCTGAACTTACTTTTTACCTGGGACTGATCAGTCGGGTTTTTTTGAAGACCCTCTTCCTTCTACATCCTTTCATTATCGGTACCATGTCCAAAGCGCACGCCCAAATGATTGATAGATTGGTGGAGAAGGTGCAAGAAAATGTAAAAGCGACGCGGGGTGAAGCGGATGGAAGCGAAGGAAAAGAATCGGAAGTTGTTTGATTCTGGCCCGTGTCCACGCGTTTCTATGCTTGGTATTGCAGGTGATTAGTGATTGAGGAATAGTACTAGCATGTATCTTGGAATAAATCTCTATGTGAAGGCCTAGCCCCCCTCATCCCGCCACACGACAATGTCGAGCCACGCAAGACTCACCATCTTTAGGTATAAGTCGATGTAGTCGATCCGGTTCCAGGCGTGTTTTTGGTGCACGATAGACTTTTCAAGTACGTCTCCATCTTTCAAATTATGATCACCTTTCGCTCAAGTCCGTCCAAATTTATTGTTCAGCATCACTAGGACTCGAACAACTTCCGACTCGGAATGCCGAACTTACACCCAAGGAACAAGGCTTCATGCGAAAGAACAGACAAGGTCCCATGACGCGTTGACCATTGTTCCGAGTTCCTTCTCCAGTCACTTGGGATATCTCTCTAGAAGACCATGGGCCGTCAGTCTGCTTCACACAGATCAACAAGCTTATCGTTTTGTTTTGGAATCGATGGAGCTAAAACGCTAGCGCTTCAGCATTGGGCAGCCAACGCGCCAACTTCGTTCCAACCCCCAACGCTGAAAGAGGCTTTGCGCAGAGCACACTGCAGCCTTCAGGCAGCATGTATGGTTCACTATCTAATACAAGGGTTCAGTTCGACTACAACCTAATCAATTTTTTGCGCCAGATACGCAGCGTTGTATCAGAACCATTCCTTTTCTAACTCTTCTGGGAGGCTAGTTCTGTTTCTATGCGTGAACAAGTTTGCATGAATCTCCAGGTACTTGTTCTAGTCTGTACTTTTGCAGATTGGTCATTATTCTGACACATCACCTTCGCACTCCGCGGCTTCCATTGATTCCATGCTATTTTCGTTTTCAAGTTACCTTCTGCTTCCACATTGTTGAGTATGCGGTCTCTTGTGCATCAGATATAACATGCAACTCGACTATCTTACTTCTGCTCGTTTGCAGTTAGAAAATCGTCTTCGACTAGACTGACTCTTTAACTTCGTTCACAGGCAGGCCGTGCAAACAAGTTAGGGATATGATCCCACCAAACCTATAACGTCGCTGGCCATTCCCTCACATATACAGGACCTAGTTACCCACACCATCATGAAGCGGGAGGAACTACAGCAGCGGACCATCTTGTATGCGCGCATGTTGCCCGCTGTCTACTTTCGCGCTGGTGCTAATTTCGGAACCAGGCCCCCAAGCTCTGAATCTGGATATCTCTTCCTTTCATCCCTATCTTTGAAACTATACTTCTTTTCTCAGGCGCAGGTGATTTTAAGGCTCAGTAGGTATTCGGGTACCTATTTATTTCCCTCTACTACCCACCTACTCGATGGTTTCTGTATGGCCTCTTCTCCTCCAGTCTACTAAAACATTTACCAAAAGCCTACCTTCCGACGCAGAAATCACAGAACACGATATCCTTCGGGTTCTGCATGATCCGCCAACTTTAACGTGCTTGAGTCCACTGGTCACCAAGAGCGAGGTGTTGGACCCAGTGTCGAAACCGAATTTGTACACTGTTCATGAGAGTCCAAGCTTTCTGGGGATGAGGTTTAATATTATATTCACGGCGGATTGTAAGCTGAGTGGTTGAGTACCTTTTATCCTCGTGCTTCTGCGCTTGCTGATATGTCAATCATGTCAACCTCTGGCTCTCACACATACAGACGACGGTATCAACGTGAAAGTCCACGCAGGCTTCTGGACGACGTTGGATACCAGATGGAGAGTAGCAAGAAACGTGGAGACGGGACTGATTGAGGTGTCCGAGACGGTAACTTGTCAGGTATGCAGCACTTACTGGTTCTTACTTTTGATTTGTGAGAAATTAAATCGACGTTTTTTTCCAGAGCTTGTCGCTCTTGCACCCTTACGTTGTCAATACCATGTCCAAAGCACACACACGAATATTTGATAGATTGGTAGAGAAGGTGAAAGAAGATGTAACAGCCAAGCGATGCGATTCTGAAGTGGATGGAGGCGAAGGAAAGTAGTGGGAAGTAGCTTGATTCTAGCCGTGTTGCGCGTTCAGTACCACACGTATCTTTGTATCGGGTCTTGCGCGCGGTGATTGAGAGGGAACGGTCTACGACACAGCGTCGAGATTGAGGTTTACTAATTGAGTCAGTAGCTACTTACTATGACTTCCGGTTTGAACCTTGCGGCTTCACTCTCTAAAGTCTGCTTTGGTCCTTGCATACTTACTGGCATATTCAGGCTTCCATGGGAAAAATTGATTGAGGGGCGGGGAGGATAGCTTTATGAGATGGACAAGATGCTGAACGATGAGTTCCATCTAAGGCATTAATGGGGTAGTGGTAACCTGGGTCGTTGCCATCCCTCTACATCCGTCTGGGTCGACCCGCCGGGGGTTCGATTCCCTCTTAATGCACTGTCCTTCATGTTTTGTTCTATTCTTATTCTATCGCAATTACGGTCATTCCCACGTCGTTCGAGCACCCAAATCCAGTTTGGCTTCGGAATCGGAAACTACGATCTTTTTTCACAAACCAAGTTGGCAGAAAGTTGGAAGACACTCCATTGAACAGTCTTGGGCCCTTATATCTACACTTGATGCATGGGCATATATCCGATTTAAGCTATCAGTTCAAAAATCTGTTATTGGCGCTGGACTCCTTCGAACAGTCGCCTGATTTCCCTGATTAGGTAGTACCTGATAAACTATATATGGGTAATCCGAGTGCTGAATCTTTGTCGAAGAGCATATTGAGTAAAATACCCTCTGAACACCCATTTTTCTTACCTCAAAGTACTTAATTATAACTATATAAACATCATCTAGTCAAATACTAAACTCAACGTAGATATCTCCGCTTGAGATAGGCGGTTTTTGATCATTTTCAACACTATACTGCACAGTGAGGTCGAAAATTGTAGCTTATTGTTTATTAAACTGTCGGATCTTGTATAGGCCTTCTACAATCATAGAACAGACACAAGTCCGATGGCAAAATATGGAGTTTTGGACCGAGCCCACTGTTCAGAATGACTGTACAGTTCGATATTTTCATGACTATACTTCGGATGTTCACGCGAGGTTGCTTTGGAGAAGCTTATGGGATAGCCATGTTGCTACAGAAATGGAGAGCAGATCGGTGATTCCAATATTAATATTATCTTTCGATATAAGTTTCTCATAAATTTCCGCCGTTCGCCGGCATAATAACAGCCTCGTATGTATACCAGAATTCTCGAGAGTGACAGGGGAAAATCGTTCGCTTATAGCATAATAACAAGTAAAATTACTTCGATGAGCTGTACGTATTAGTATTTTGATTTTGAGTATGTAACTGCGTTTGTGATTTCGCGAGTATGATCAAGTCTCCTGTTTCTTGTCCTTTTCCTTTTCCAACTTCTCTACCAGGCTATCCAGTAAACGATTATGCGCGCCAGACATAGTGGCAAGGATGAATGGGTAGAATAAAAAGAAGCACTAGTAGAGAGTAGTAAGAGGCAAAGATAAATCTGAGCGTGCGACAGAAACTCACTGTCACTGTTACAGTCTCCGAGATTTCCACTTGTTCCAGTCTATCGCCCTTCTTCCTGGATACTCTCCATTTCTGCTCCAACGTTGTCCCAGCGCCTGCAAGTACCTTGTTGTCGGTTCCGTCAGCTACGAAAGCAGTTAGAAGCCGAACGAACAATTTTCGCAAAACCTCAATCAAGACTCAACTGGTCGGGTCAAACTCCACCGTGTAGGCTACATCCATCTTAAACAGCCCAAGAAAGCTCAGGTCATCATGAATTGTGTACAAATTCGGTTTCGATGAATCCAACGCTTCGAATTTGGTGACCAGTGGATTCAGGCTAATCATCTCGCCTGGATTGTGGAAGATTCGGAGGACATCTGTTTCTGTAATTTCTGTTTCTGGACTTGGACTCGGAGGAATAGTTTTGGTGAATTTTTTTGTGAAAGCGACCATTCTTGAAGTTGTGGTGGCGAGTACGTGGTAAGCGGACGTTTCACTACTACTAAACGTACTATGGTCTGTCGGCTAACATTCGCCGACCACAGCTTCAAGCTTCGAGCTTCAGTATCGTCCTTCCCTCAATGACATTATGCCATACTGTGTCACAGTCTTACATTTACATCGCGATTTACAGTTTACATCAATGATCACGATTAGACAGCGATCAGACTTTGCAGAGAGACTGGCAAATTGGTCATACCGAGGCCTCGCGTGCACCGCAGGTGCACGCGAAAGGCCCGAGGCCTATGACTCAAGACGGAAGCAAACCCGCCGAGGCCACAGGCCTCAGGCTGGGCCAATAACTTAGTACCTATGCTAATAAGTAGAGCTAGACCATCCTGTTTTTACATATTTGCATGACTTGATATCGTTGCTCACATTTGTGACATTGTATATTAAGTTTCCTTGTTTTTTTGGCCCATGCCGTCAAATACCGTAGCTGTATTTCTTCTAGTCCATCCTAATATCCCTTCTCTGTTTCTGAATCTCTGATATTTTCTGGCTATTACATATCCGCTTACTCTAATAGGCTTATTTCAAGGTGTATAATATTTTATTGACCAAAGAATTGGTGAAGAATCGTAAATTCGGCAAGTTGGGCGCTTATGCTACATTTTTGGCGGCCGGCTACGCCGGCATGAACTGAAATGATAAGTGCACTAATAAATGAGGTTTCTAAGTCGTACAAAGGCCTGGGAAGCATATCAAGGTCCACCGTATATGAATACTTCTCTATGATAATGCCTTGCAGCAGTCAAAAGATGGCTCCTGTGTGAGTTGGATGGGCAACAAGCTTTTACATGGCGGGATTTCCTAAGTCACGGGGTGGCCTGAGCCAGAATCGGTCTTAATCGGTCAATTCGGTCCTTTCGGTTTTGATCGGTCCAATTGGTCAGACCAATTTGGTCTCGGTTTGGCGGGGCAGCCGAGAGACTGGATGTGACGGTCAGGTGATCCTGGTGAATCGGCGCTAATCATTTCGCTTTCTCTTACTCTGACCGTGTCTTGACCCTTCCTTGAAGCGCGTACTTGGCTGTGATTTTTGTGTCAGGGTATCGGCTGGATCCACCCACAAAAATACATGTCCTCCTCTGGTATTCAACTTGAGGTCACAATTACTTGCCTGTCAATCATCGCTACTGCTGGTTATATCTGGTACCGCTACAAACCCAAGACTATGAAAACCAAAAGCAGCGATCCATACGGTCTCTTTCATCTAGCGCTGAACAAACGTCCCGGTGAACTTGAGTCTGCCCCAAAAACAGAGTGGCTTAACATGGGTTATTGGAGAGTGAGATGTAATGCTTCTTCGCAACAAATACTGTGTTAATGAGACCGGTATAATAGGACACGGATATCTTCCCAGATGCTTGTGAAGGTATTTTTGTCGTATATTGATGGATGCCCTGATCTGACCCAAATTTTAAACCTAGCTCTAACTCTCAAGCTTCTTGATGCTGCGAGATATAAAGCTGGAAGCAAGGTACTCAATATGTGTCTGATGTTTATCTTCATATCCACAGCTGGCTCATTATTTTTCTGTCTTGGCCTACGTTGGTCATGGTACTGGTGAATCCCTCATCCTACTTTTGACACATCCTTCGATTCCGCGCCCGACACATCTAACAGGAATCACAAGTATTCCTCTTCATCACGAACGTTCTCTCGAACGGGTCAAAACGATCAGCTCGGATGTAGACACCGTGGTTTCGCTGCACCTCGGAGATGCTGTATATAAACCAGGTGCAAAACACCACCCACTTGATCCAGCGTCTCCCCTCCGCTTCGACACGATCCTGGCTTTGGACTGCGCGTATCACTTTGTTACTAGGGAGTCATTCCTGAGGCAGGTGAGATACAGAGAATGCTTGTTTTCACGGAACAATACTTACCTACTCATCCAGTCTTTCAATCGTCTCGAACCCGGAGGACGGGTCGCACTAGCAGACATATGCTTCGCCAACTCTCCTCCGACGAGCTTTAAAGCTCGGTTCCTCCGTAGATTTCTTTTTATAGATTTCTTTTTAGCAAGCTAATGCCTCGGGAAAACGCTATATCGAAAAATGACTATGTGAGATGCCTGGAGGATCTTGGGTTCGAGGACGTGGTTTTGGAAGATATTAGTGATGGCGTTTTTCCTGGGTTCGTGAGGTTGTCGAAGGAGAGAGGGCTTGGATGGTGGGTGTTTGCGTGGGTGTTGAATTGGTATTACCGAGCAGGAGCACGATTCGTGTTGGTTGGTGGTTCTAGACCGAGGACTTTTGTGGAAAGTTGAGATAAAGTGCGGGACAATGGACAGGCAGTGATTGAGGATCCTGAATAAAGGCGGGACATAGTGCAGGCAGGTAAAGAAATGGCGGGGTAATGGGTGGGCTGCAATCAAGAAATCACAAGTCAGGATCAGGTGGGACGACAGCGATAAATGGCGATGAGCTCAGGTACATTTTCTCAGTCATCAGGGTTATTCATGTAGCTTACATGAAGGGTTCTAGTATGGGCCTTGCATCTGTCTTTTTGAAAATAGCTAGAATTATTGACAGAAATATTCGTGATATAGGGGAATACACAAGTCAAGGGGAGGAGGCCCGGCATGTGGGGCCCATCTCACCAGGCTTACATCTTTCGAGTGCGTGAGTGAATCCAGATGTATTTTCGAGAAAGATCAAGTAAAATTGGGGGAAAAAGAAAAGCTTCCTCTTCAAAGTAAGATTGTGACTCGGAAACATCAACTCCCTCCTCAAAGTCAGACAGGGTAAGTTTGTGTGTTGGCCCAGGACCAAGGAGAGCTCGTACCCTTCCTTTGTGAATACTGTATCGAAGCTGACGAGACTGAGGTGGGCCCAGTTCGCTCATTGGCAGGTATGCAGCGGGCTTTCCGCTGCAGTACACACGGCCAGATTCATCCATGATGACACTTTTCGGGCTGGACAACCAACTTCCAGGTCTGAATTCAACCTCAGGCTCATCATTCACCTTAACCTTAACCTCATGCTCATATTGGCCACCCTTCCAAAAGAATGACGACAGCATGGGAAACTCGGGCAAGGGGGAGCAAAGATTTGGGTTGTCCGATTGGTTCGACGTTCGGTGTGCGTCCAAAGATCCAGGCGGATAGAATTTGAGGGTGCCATTTGCAACATCGGAGCCAACATCCTGAAGCGGCGCATATATTGAGGGATCAAGATGTGCTCTACTGCCCTGATAGATATGATATGAGCCAACGTGGGCAGTGGTGGCAACAGACCAGACGTGGGCCAAATAGATGGAGCCTTGAAGAGGAACATGATTGCCACTGAAGGCACCAACATGTGTTCCATCATGGGAAAACCCAAGAGAATGCGAGGCAACAGAAATCGAGTCGAGCCGAGGGGGTTTAGCAAGGGGACGAACAGATATATCACCAGCGAGGACATTGAGCAGGACCGTTGAATGAGACCAAAGGGCAGAGTCAAGTGAAACACGGAATATGCGATCGCCATCTGGAGATACGACGGCCCTTGGATCGGACTGGGGAAATGGAAGGGGTCCGAACACACCAAGGACGCCATCCGGACCAATCAACCACACCATTCCGTCACCGTCTTCTCCAACAACACGAGTGTTCAAAAATGCGAATTCAATCCAGCGAAACTGGGGTACTGGCTTTGAATTCCATTCCAAGGGCAAATTTGGAGTCCAGGCAAGTTTGCTGTGTTCAGAGTGGACAACCCGAAAGCTACCATCTTGGAACGATAGCGCAACAAACTCCCCATCTGAAGAAAGAGCTGATTGCACCACATGGGCAGGAGGGTATGCATGAGCATTCGTAGACAAAGGAGTATGGCCTTGCCCAACATTTGTGAAAAATGACATAGGAGTAGAAGTGTGTTTGGGCGTACTGGCAAATATTCGGTATGGAGATAGATTATACTCGGTGACAAGGAGACGGCTAAGCTCGGACAAGAGACGGAAGTATTGACAAAAAGAGTAACCATTGTAAAAACCAGGCGGTTTAGCTTTGATAAACTTCAAAGCGGCTGATACGGCACCCAGTGCGATTAGTCTTTTGGAAGAGGGCATATCCAGACTATCACGTCTCCGTAGTATTTTTGATAACTTTTCAAGTCCTTGGATGACCTGAGGGATATGGGAATGCTCGTCTATCATGTCTGCCCAAGCAGCTAGCTCAAACCATGCAACAAGACATGTTGATATGAAATTCCACACAATATCCCCCAGGTTAGACGGAGCATCTTTAGGCTCGGGAAAATGCTCAGTCCAGTGGTCCATTGCATAAGAAAGGTGCACTGCAAGTTTCATATTCATATTGCCCTTGCCCTTGTAAAGCCCTAGTTCGTAATCCACTATGGGAGAAAACGTGAGTAAATACCCAGGGCAAAAAGCCTCTATCATCAGCTCCAAACAAAATGATGCGAGGAATGCGCCTTTCAAATCTTTGAAGAAGAACTTCTCCTTATCCTCGTCACTCCCTACTGGTTCCCCGGTGAGAAACTCACGTGCTGTTGCATGGTAAAAATGGATAGGAGCAGCCTCGTCATCGGGAACGCTGAGGATAGAGCTGATTGGTCGCAACGCTGATACTGCCTCGCTTGTCGACATCTTGAGGAGCTGAGTGAGTGAGCTCAGGGGTAGCCCTCGACTAGAGCAATCACAGCACCCACAACCAACCGAAACCGCTTCAGCACCTCCTTGTCCAACTCCAAGCTTTCCCCGGGTGCGACGTATGGCACGATGTATGCATTCCGCAATATACGCAGATACTCGCTTGTGTATGTTGGAAATCCACTCCGAGTATCTTTCAAAAGCTTCCGGAACGCTTCATCCAAGGGAATACCCCTTGACATCTCCAAAAGGCGTATGCGGATGTTGGCAATTTCAAATATGCCACCACAATGCCTCGCACATTCCTGTATATCTTGCTGAGGAGGAGGCCAGCAAGTCGATCCGCGGGATGGAATCTTCTCGAGGCGCTGATCAATGTATGTCAGAATATCTTCGTCAGAGAGGACCTTGTCCAGATTTTCCGAGGGTATATCAGAAGAGTAGTTACGGAGTGCATCGAGGATTTCTCGCTCAGGGCGAGAGCTGACAAGAAATTGGAAGTGTGATAGATTGCATATGAGCTCAACCACAAGGTCCATAAGGTGTTCTAGGGCTCTCCAATCCCCACATTCGTCCAAGCCATCTAGAATAATCAGGGAAGGTAGATCGGAAGGATAAACCTCGTGTATCGTGTTCATAGGAGTGATGATAAGCTGTTTTAGCTGATCTAGTCCTGAACTCAGCTGGTCTTGTCCTGAACGAGATATCAACTGGGAATCGTCGTGGAGGAGTTGGAAAAGAGCATTTCGATAACGAGGATGATATTCGGCCAACTGGCGCGCCAGTGTAGAGATAAATAACTCTGTAGAGTTAGTGAAACGTTTCGCTCCGGATTTGTCAAAAAAGAATGACGCTCCAAGTCGTTTCTGCTGGTAGTAGTAAGCCGCAATGCTCTTTGCTATGGCAGTCTTTCCCATCCCGGGAGACGATTGGAGGACGACAAGACGGTTGGAATGGTTGGAAAGATGGGTTGTGAGACGATCGCGAACGCCAACCCTAGTATTAGGCGCACATTCATCTTTCCAAACGCTGATGTAGTCAGCTTTGGCTATCTCGAGCTGGTCGAGGGTACCTAAAGCCCATGTAAAGCAACGTGACTAGGCAAAGTTGGAAGGATGACTTACTTTTCACGAGAGTTTCGTGAGTTGTAATCCATATCTGAACAATCGTGTCTGTCTAAAAGCAAAGGCCAAGCGTGAGGACAAGTAGTTTGAGATAGGGTCTCAGAGTCTTACGCTAAAATTACGGATAGCAGTATCAACCGCAAGTCGAGTATCGGTGATTTGTTCCATATTTCTGGAAGCATGCACAATATTCTTTCCGGTTCCCTTGTTTAGAAGTCGGGACAGTTCGTTGCATTGATCTTCCAATTTACTAGAAAAACATGCATGAGCAAGAAGCTTCGCACAAGAGGCCTTGGGGTCATTCAAACCTGCAAAGTTCTCTGACTCGATCCTGCATTTTCTCGGAGATATCTCTGGACGACCCCATAGGCTCGATCACCCGGTCAATGAGATCTTGTACACTGGATTGCAGTGCTTTCAGGTTCTCCTCGTTACTATCCGCCTGCTAAAAATAAAAGTTAATATTTCTTGTCAATAAAGTAAGTGTTCCAGACGAGGCACCTCGTATAGATCGATAAACGAGAGCAAAGTGGATGGGATTACATCGAGCCCTGAGATCGGAGCGGCCTTCAACCCAATCTTAGCAGCCTTGAGGACTCCCTTGACTCCAAAAAGGATGCGCTGTTTCGTTTTTAGAAGCAGGCTTTGTAGGATTTACTTCTGGGCCTATATCTAAACCTAAAGTGGTCTCCGATTCGACAGCCAAATTCAGAGGTGACTGAGACGGCGTATCTCTAGAACCAGATGGAAGTAATTTGAGGGGGATGGATGACTCCGGGGGTACGGTGCCTACAGAAGTGGGGATGGTTGGCATATGCAAAGCGGATTGCATCTGCTTTTGGATAGACGATGAACTCGATTTTCGCCTGGAGAACCAAGAACAACAAGACATTGTAGTTATGTGACTATGATACTCTCGAGGAGAATTTGACTCAAATAAACCAAGGAACACGCAGCTGCCTGCCAGTAAACACATATACCCCGGAACGCGGCCAGTGAGTTCCTATTCTGAGACTGACACTTCTTCCTTCTTGCATGTCATGTGCTTGAACCCATGTCCATGGCCTGGTTTTTAATCTTTCCAAAGCACCATGTCCCTTAGTATATCACCGTTACCGTGTCACCCTTTCTTCGTCAATTCATATGGTTCATTAGCTTGTCTAATTTGGGTTCGAAAAATCCAACGCTTCAAATTTGTTTACCAATGGATTCAAGCTAATCATCGAACATTTGTCTACCGCAGCTTCAGCGCTCAGCACATTCCATATCATGACAGACTTACAGTTTCCATCGCACTAATAATCAGAGAGCGCCAATGACGGTCAAGTGAATCGGCGCTAATCATTTTGCTCTCTTCGTGAAGCGCATAATCAGTCTTAATTTTGTGCCAGGGTATTGGCTGGATCCACCCACAAAAATCCATGTCCTCTCCTGGTATCCAATTCGAGCTCGCAATTGCTTGTCTGTCAATCATCCGCTGCCGCTGGTTATATCTGGTACCGCTACAAACCCAAGACTATGAAAACCAAAAGCAGCGATCCATACGGTCTCTTTCATCTAGCGCTGAACAAACGTCCCGGTGAATTTGAGTCTGCCCCAAAAAACAGAGTGGCTTAACATGGGTTATTGGAGAGTGAGATGTAATGCTTCTTCGCAACAAATACTGTGTTAATGAGACCGGTATAATAGGACACGGATATCTTCCCAGATGCTTGTGAAGGTATTTTTGTCGTATATTGATGGATGCCCTGATCTGACCCAAATTTTAAACCTAGCTCTAGCTCTCAAGCTTCTTGATGCTGCGAGATATAAAGCTGGAAGCAAGGTACTCGGTATGTGTCTGATGTTTTATCTTCATATCCACAGCTGGCTCATTATTTTTCTGTCTTGGCCTACTAGACGTTGGTCATGGTACTGGCGAATCCCTCATCCTACTTTTGACACATCCCTCGATTCCGCGCCCGACACATCTAACAGGAATCACAAGTATTCCTCTTCATCACGAACGTTCTCTTGAACGGGTCAAAAAGATCAGCTCGGATGTAGACACCATGGTTTCATTGCACCTCGGAGATGCTGTATATAAACCAGGTGCAAAACAGCACCCACTTGACCCAGCGTCTCCCCTCCGTTTCGACACGATCCTGGCTTTAGACTGCGCGTATCATTTTGTTACTAGGGAGTCATTCCTGAGGCAGGTGAGATACAGAGAATGCTTGTTTTCACGGAACAATACTTACCTACTCATCCAGTCTTTCAATCGTCTCGAACCCGGAGGACGGGTCGCACTAGCAGACATATGCTTCGCTAACTCTCCTCCGACGAGCTTCAAGGCCCGTTTCCTCCGTAGATTTCTTTTTAGCAAGCTGATGCCTCGAGAAAAACGCTATATCGACAGATGAGTATGCGAGATGCCTGGAGAATCTTGGGTACGAGGACGTGGTTTTGGAAGATATTAGTGATGGTGTTTTTTCCTGGTTCGTGAGGTTTTTGAAAAAGAGAGGGCTTGGATGGTGGGTGTTTGCGTGGGTGTTGAATTGGTATTACCGAGCAGGAGCACGATTCGTGTTGATTGGTGGTTCTAGACCGAGGATTTCGTGAATTCTTACAGAATGTTCGTTATGAATGAGTTTAGCTTCCTTTGTAACAAGGCATTAATGGGTAGTGGTAACCTGGGTCGTTGCCACAGATGACATCATCGCTTGTCGTCGACCCGCCGGGGGTTCGATTCCCTCTTAATGCAATGAATTCTCTTCTTCATGAGTTAACACTTTTTGGTCACCGATGATTGAATTTGTGTGAATAATGATAAGTAGTTGAATGCACGCCAAAGCATAATCTACATTGTAAACAGTAATAAACACCTCTTTCCCTCATTGACCGCCATCCAATCAGTTCACATATCCAGCTACCAAAAACGTCTCTCACCCAAAGCACACACGGTCTATCAAATTGACATCCGTGGACACGTCCGTTCATGGTCAATCTGCGACGCTATTCCGAATTCGATGATCTACACATCGAGCTCACTAAAGACGTGGCTCCGCGCCTCCAGCTCCACTTCCGCCCAAAACATAAATACTCCATCCTACGATCGCACACCGATCCACAGCTACTAGAAGAAAGAAAGATCGGATTAGAAGCATATCTACGTGCCATTATCAGTGCAAAGGAAGACAAGTGGAGAGAGGCATTTGCATTTAAAGAGTTTCTAGGTGTTCCTATTGGACGAAAATACAGTCACCGAAGAGACACAGTTCACACTGACGTCGTGGCTAGAGGAAACACCAGGACCTCCAGAATCGGCGTGCGAGATGTTCGTGCGGATATCAATAAACGAGAAGCGCAGAGCGACCAGGGCGACGTCAGTGCGTCACACAAGTCGAATGTTAGCGCAAAGCAGAAACTGGCAGGCGTTTTGGCGCGGATTGAGTATTGGGAAAGGGATTGCACGAGTTGGCAATGGCGGGATGAGTCAAGGAGATTGCAGAGGCGTACAGATATGGTTGCGCGTCTGCAGATGACTGCGAGAAACTGGCAAAATGGTCACAGTCGCTAGACATGACTTGTCTTTGCCCAGTGCTCCGACTCCTGCTGACCGTGAGGCCCTTATGGCCCCCGACGAGGCGGGTGACTCGCGTGTTCGGGAAACCACAGGAAACGAAACTACGAGACCATTGGATGACCGAGGTTTGTTTGGTCTGCAGCAAACGCAGATGCAACAGCAGGACACACAGCTTGCTCAACTCACAACTATTCTCGGACGACAGAAATTTCTTGGACAGGCGATTAATGCAGAGATTGGAGAACAAATAACCATGCTCGATGGTTTGTCTAATGATATGGACCGTGTAGGTGACAAGCTTTCAAAGACTTCGAGACAGATGCATCGGTTGGGTTAGATATATTAGTAGCATTAATACATTACATGGCTGGGTACATCTATATTCTAGGTTCTCTACTTTTCTGAGAGAAATCTGCCGACGCCCTGGAAACGCGTCAGCGAATGTTGACTTCGGAGCACCGGAAAAAATGACATACCTCGAAACACGCAATCATAATTCCACAAGCCGGAGCAATCTTTGCAATCCTTGGTGTAAGTCCCGCAAAAAGCGCACTCGCACCTTCTGTGCGCACAATCTGCTTCACAAGCGGAAACGTAGCCGTGATTTTAGATACAGATCCGGACATGACGAGTGCCTGACGTCGCGTCTTGATAAACATCCATCGGCGAAGTTATCAGTGCAGCAGCAGAACCACTAGATGCCCCACAAACAAATGCTACCCAAGCACCCTGGTGACCACGCCGTGCAAAAGACTTTTTGAGCGCTTCGTATGTCGCCCAGTATAATCCTGAAAAGGGAATGTCGCGCCATAATGTAGCGCCGAGACCACGATAGAGAACAGGTAAACCTTGCGTTCGTACAAGACCTCGGACAGAAGTCAGCACAGAACGTAGTGTATGTGGATTTTGTGGGATAAAGGCGTAGACTGGAGATTCGTCCGGATCATTTTCCAGAGGAGAGGCGATGGAAGATATTGCGCCCCGGCGAATACACCAGCTATTAGCGGAACTAGGGGTTCAGGGATTAGAGGCGGTAGTGCGACTTTTAGTAAATGGTCATAAGTGAGCATGTAGGTCGTTGAAGAAGGACACCAATAAGTCTGGATCAATGAGTTAGTAAGAAACGAGAAAGGTAATCGGATATGAAAACTTGCAATGTAGTTCCAGCACCTTTCCATAATCCACGCATACCCTCTGCTCTCCATACATGTCTTACGGCGTCGGAGAACCCATTGACCCGCTCTGCCCGTAATATTCCATTTTCCCAGACACATACGAGTTCCTCTGTAGCTAACGGCCGTGCGTAAGAAGACATGTTGCGCACGCAAGGTTTACCAGATGGCTGACAACATAATGTCGAAGAAGGGGGAGCCGAGTAGAAGAAACAAGAGGCGGTAGCTGGGTCTGTAACCTCGTTTTGACGACGTCGAATGGCGTCACTGTGAGATTTTGTTAGAAAGATATTGTTTGGAGACAGAGAATAAAGATACTTGCTCGTCAAAGCGGTCATTGTAGACCCAGTGGCCGCACCTACGAGCTTTGCGTAGGAGTCATGCATGAACTTGGAGGGAAAGGAAGAGTAAGGAAAGGAACTCCGAAGACAAATCGGCCGGGTATCTCCGTTCCGGCGCGGAACCAATCCAGTTCCGCATGCTTACTCACTGGCCAGAGTCCAATGAAACCAGATTTATGGAGATTTGTTGGTTGAGTATACCTATTAGCTCAAAATGTCGCCCTAATTAGCTTCAAATCCGAAAATCTGAGGCCTGCCTGAGGATAACACTGGTCATTGTTTATAACGACATCGGCCGGGTGTCTTCGGCCCGAGGCGGCACCTGGTATCATTATGCGATTTCGCCACCACTTTTTCTCCAAAACCACGAATCTCTCTCAAGCGCATTTTTTTTCTCTTTTCTTTTCTACTTTTTTTAATATCTAGTGTTGAGCACAAAGAAACACGAATAATCGCGCACGCAATCCCAAATTCTATCCGATACCCACCTCCCGATGGCGTCGACTCTGAACGGCCCAGCCCTTGCAGCGACTAGAGCTGCGCTCTCCGCTGCTATGGCTGATAATCCAACTGCAAACAACGCAAATGCAAACTTCGACGACACAGAGCCAGGCGAGGTTCAGGAGATTAGTATGGAAGCTCAAGCAGAAGGAATCCGTACAGTTTTTAGCGATCCTACGAATTTCAACGTCAAGGTAAACTAATATGGCTTACTTACATACCATTTCTCTCTAATTTTTTTTCTCTTAGCACCCTCTATACTCACCCTGGACTCTTTGGTTCGATTCGCCGATGACAAAGAATCGAAATCTACCTCAGACGCCGATTTCTGCTATGCCACAGACGCCTGGGCCGATGCCACCAACACCAGGTGTCGCTGCTGCCCAAGGCTGGATGGAAGATATCAAGCGGGTTATCAGTTTTGATAGTGTAGAAGAGTTTTGGGGGTACGTATACTAACCCAAGCCCTTTTATGCAAGCGCTGAATCTGATGAATTCATCAAGACTCTATAACAATATCGTGCCTCCATCGGCGCTACCTCAAAAAGCAAACTACTATCTCTTCAAGGTACCCTTGACGTTGTTTTTCATCATAGTATAGTAGCTTACCGCTGCTAATAGGAAGGGATCATACCTGCGTGGGAGGACGAAGCGAACAAGAATGGCGGAAAATGGAGCATCCAGCTACCAAAAGACAAGAACAGGAGCAACGTAGACAAGATGTGGTTGTACACTGTACGCGTTTGTTCTTACCCTTCCTTTGTTCCTTTTACCAACCCCTTTCACAGATGCTAGCTGCAATCGGAGAAACCTTTGACCCATCACTCACAACTCTTGATCCCACTGGATCCCCTCCAAACTCGTTGATCACGGGCGTCATCGTATCCACGCGTCCCCAGTTCTACAGAATCTCGATATGGACGAGGCTTGCGCCAGCAGGAGAAGATGATGGAAGTCTGAAAGAGAGAATCGAAGGTGTAGGGCGGCATTTTAAAACGAGTGTGTTGGGGTACCCAGACAACGCGAAATTAGCTGGGCCGTTGGCCACTGAAGTCGAGTTTTTATCTCACAAGGATTCAGAGAAGAAGGGCAAGGGGAAGAAGATTATTGTTTGATCTGTTCTTGTTTTCTGGTTTCTGTTGCTTTTTTTTTTTTCTATTTTGCTTTGGTATAAAGAAATAATATTTTTTATCGATTAACGCGCGGCAGGCACTTGCTGATTATTCCGAGTATTTATTGACGTCACATTTGGTTTTGGCTGCGCACCAGCGCTTTTCTTGAACAAACCACCATGCCAGTTCCAGGATTTATCTCTTCTTTTGCCGACAAGGCTCAGTCAGCTATCGCTGAACATCTTCCATCTGGACACAGGTCCGATTCTACTCAGATCAATTCTGCCAGTACTCTTGGGAAAAATCCCACTTTTGAGGTTCTCCAGCATCAGCTTCGTTCTCTAGGGCAACAATATGGGTGAGTTTGTATCAAGTTCATTGAGAATATCTGCTTAATAATAAATAATCAGTACCGGAGCAACGCCCGTACAAAAGATCATCACCAGTGCCAAAGGCGTTGCCATTGATCTGGACAGTCTCTCTCGCGACCAGAAAGCACAAAGTAAAGAACTCTACACCTGGGGTCAAGGCGAAGAGGAAGACTTGAAAGATGGTATGCTTAATCTATTAAAACTTGGATATTAATTAATCGCTTCCCCTGCAGTCTCTGACAGACTAGCCTACCTTAACTTTGTCTCGGGTTCTCTCGTTAGCTCACTCGCAGTCAAGCTCGACTCCGCCCGCTCCCCATTGAAGCTCCTTCGTGATGCGGAGAACGCTATCCTTCCCCGACGCAATATTCGCGCAGGTTTGCATCAACAGCTTGCGCGCTTAGAACATGATAATCAAAAGGGTATGGAGAAAAGGATTGCTGATCTCAAAGAACAGATTAGGAAAGCAGAGGCGGATGATTCGCCTCAAGAGAAGGAGATTGAACTTTTAAAGAGAAAAGGTTTGAGGGAGAGTGAGCAGCAAAAAATGGGAGGCTATCCGTGAGGTAAGTGGATTTATTTTTGTGAGACCTGTGACTAAATGTTGGTGTAGTACGGAGAGAAATTGGTTCTGCTTTCTCAAGCGGCCCAGCCTGTGATCAGTGCTCTTCCAACGCTTCC